GCGAACTAGAGAGAAAGAGAGAGGAGGGGCGGGACGGAGGGGAAGGTGGTGAAGGGAGAGGGGGAGAGAAACGTGAAGTGGTAGGAAAAGACTAAAAGAGAAGAAAGAGAAGAGGAAACAAAGCAACGTCCCTTTGTCCTTTGCTATAATGCACGGTACAAGTAAACGCGGTGCATTTGCAAAGAGGTTGCAAGACTTTTCGTTACCATGACATTTTCTTTTTACCTCCCTGTGTTTTCCTTCGTTTTTACGCCTGGCAAATATGTACATATCGTTAATTGATCAAACGCCGGTATTTGTGCCGCATAGATGAAATAAATCTCGACCGCAATGGGATTAAACGGTGTATCGTTACCAGCTGATACCTGGCGTAATTGGAAAGTTCAATTAGATGATTATCAACTATCTGTTATTGGATAATGAAAATTGTTCCCTCACTGTAATCTTATTGATTTTTTTCATAGAAAATGAAATAGTAAGGAAACAGGATATTTGGAACATTTTTTTCCCGTTTTTTAACGTGCGAAACGGTACAATTTTATACGTAATTTTGGAAAATAAATCTCGCTTTTGACGTTAGCTTTACACTTCGAATTTCTCAAGGAAAATTACAGAAACCGTTAGGCTTATTATAAATTTTATACAAATATACAATATCACATAGCTTTTAGTAAGTAAAGTAAGTTGTGTTTTAAAGAAAATGTGTGTCAATTTGACGCGTGTCCGTAGAGACAGGTATATTAAGAAGTGTCGGTAAACCTGGTGTTAAAGTAACTTGCAAGAAAAAACTCGAGAAAAGTACTCCTCGGTACGTTTGAAATCACGCAAATCATGAGAAACTTGCGTATAAAACGTTAAGCCTGAAATCAGCACGTTCGTACAGAGTGAGCCGATTAAGTTCTTTACTTCCTCTATAGAACGCATTAGGCAATCAAGGGTAACAATCATTACCGTGCCAGTTATCGTTCCTATTATCACCATCCGTTTGACAGTAGCGTGGTCAGAGTATGCCAGTAAATTACAACTCGCTCATCGAGATAGCCAGGTACAATTATTACGAGAAATTTCATTGAACCGTAACAATAAACAAACAACAAACGACTCGTTTTTCGTATAAAAATTATTCAAGAGGTGAAAATATCTTTTCTTATAACAATTGAATTTTTCATACTTTACACACTTGTCACACAGTGGTTCAAATACACCCGGGTAACCTTTACGAACCTCCTCCATCTTGTGCCATTTACTGTTTGGAAAAGTAACGAGCGAACAACTATATTCCATCGAGCAACTCCTGCTTTTATTATCTTTCTCTTCTTCGCAAGGGCTCAAGTTACAGAGTTACGAGCACAATAGTCGCAGCCATCCCATCATTTGTTTGGGTGCCAAGCGTAGAGAATGGGTCAGTTCTTAGGCGCTTAGGATAGGCGTCCGCTTATATTATGGCCCACCAGGCCATCTATCATTCGCGATGCTAGATTCGAAATCAATTTCACCCTTTCTCGATTCGCGACAGTAATAAAAATACTACTCGTGAAACTACCAACCTATATATATATATATATACAAATACACATCCAAGTGTACTAATGCAATTCGAATATAAAAACCTACAACGACAATCTATGATAACAATGAATCATCCTCAGCTTCGACGGGTAATAAAATGACAGTTTAACGTAGCTTCCAAAACTAACCTATTCGTACGAACGAAAAGTATGTTTCTATGTATATTTCCACTGTCAACGTTCAATCATTTTCAAACCTTTTTGCACCGACGCGTACGCATCGGTGTGTGCCCTCGATGAATAGAAATAAACCGCGTATTATTGCAAGAACGATTTTACGCTTTAAGAATCCTCATGAGGAAATTATTGAACCACTTTGTGTTCCCCCCCTTGAACGGCGCCACATTAGCGCCAATAAGCAAACAACCGGCGAGTGTACCCACATATCAGCGGAGCGGCACCAGCCACCAACAGCCGCTTCTACGAACGGCAATTGTTGTACGTTGACTTGTCTTCTTCCCCCTTCTCGCTCCTCCCACACCCTCTCTCTCTCTCTCTCTCTCTATAAATAATCTCTACAATTTCTAGAGGCCTCCTGTGTCAGCGAATTCTCCGGTGGTCTCGTTTCGCATAAAGGACTTTGAGCTTATGTGACGCGTGAAATTATAACGGCGGTGGAAAAGTAAAAAGAGAGCGCGCCAGGCCAAAAGCATTCTTTGAATAGTGGAATTATTTGCAGTAAGAAAATGAAAATGCAAAGGCGGGGCCTGGGCTAAAGCGTATATAAAGGAGAATGCTTTTTCCTACTATGACCCTGCAATTATATTACTCCATGCCGATCCTTTCTTCCGTAAACTTCGTAACCGCCATTCGGTTTATTCTTTCCCCGACCGTCTGACTATGAGACAGAGAGAGAGAGAGAGAGAGAGAGAGGGGGAGCGGCGGGGAGAGACAGTGAGCACACCGGCTCTGTGTTGTGTTGGCGCGCGCAACAGTATATACGGGGGCGGAATGGCGGATGGACGCTGGAAGGCTTGAACCGTGAACCACGAGGAGAAAATATGAAAATCCAGACGAAAGAAGGATATTTGTACGTGCAAGTGTACGTTCCAGTGATATCTCGAGTCGCGAAGGCGTCGCTGCTAAACTCTTTCGAGGAGAATCGTTTAAAAAACAGCCGTGTAGGTAAGTACTGTGCGGTGCTCAGGAGTTTGCCCTCGGGGCGGCACACGGGCAACGCGAGCAACAAAGGGCACTTCTCTCGCTCGTGCCTAAATCTCACGTCGCGCAATTTTAAATGATCCGAATCGTCGATGTTATCGCGTCCGCCAATAATGACAGCACACATGCCCTATTTTTGTAATTTTGTTGGAAACGGTGGGCAATCAGGCCCGCATTTCCTCCAGGGGCAAACACCTGAGCTCTGCACGGCAAGATTCACGCTCCGAGATCACGTGTTACGATAAAACTCGCGAATAAATCAAAAAAAGTTGAGATAAGAATAGAAATAATAAAAAATAAAATTGATCTGGGAACCTTTTCCTTTTTCTTTTCATCATCGACGGAAGAGAAGGAGGAAGGGAAGGTAGGAAGATTCGAGCGAACGCTTAATAGTTCGCTACTGAATCGTTCAAACAATGAACAAAGCGGTGAATTAAAATTGGACGCACCCCATAAGTGGGCTCATGAAAAGGGGAGAGAGATAATATGGGCCGACGGCGTGACGGTGTTGGAGCAACTAACGGGGTAACTACTTTGAAAAGAAAAGTTGAAAGCTCGCGAGCACGGACGCCTTTTATCCCCCTCCCCACAGTAGAAGTGGTTAAGGCGTTCTCTTCTCCCTCTTGCTCACCCCAGAGGCTCGTCGTGATAGCAATATTATAAAAAGAAATGAAATTTCAAGTTGATATAATAAATCCTTCTTCCTCCTCTTCTTCTTTTTTTTTTATGAAACCTTCATCGAAACGTTCCACCGTTAATAAACAGATGGTTTGGTAGAATTAAGTGTTCTACAGTTTGACGGTGGTTAACCCTGGTACGGTCTTCGGGTCCTTTTTGACCCATCGCCTTCCTTTTTTAATCGTCTTTGCTGTTTATCAAGTTTATGTTCTATCAATGTTGTATTAAAAGTTTATCGTCTAGAGTGCTGGTAAGAAAAGTTGTTACAGTGGGTCTTTTCTGACCCAAAGATCTTAAGTGTACAGTCGAACGGAAGAAGGCACTAAATAGGTTTAAGTGATGAAGTAAAATATTAGATTTTCGAAGCTTGCAATTGGCAGAGCATTCACCATTCAAACACAAACTGAATCTCTCTAGTTTATAATTAAAAATCGTCAAGAATTATAACCAATTACTTCCTTTTCTTGCAAATGTGAATACGACAAATTTTTTCTCGATAACAATCCCTCGATAAATGAATTATTATATTCTAAGTATTGGCTAACCAATGACGAGTTAACTCGTCTTACCCAATTATCAGGTTAAAGATTGCTCCCTCTGTAAGGGTGTGTTTTAATTGCAACCACGCCTCGAGGAAATATCGAATATTAAAAAAGGGAGAAAAAAAGAAACAGCATCCTCTTCTTTTTGGGATATCGACAAAATGTGTTCACGTGATGTTCCAACACATTCGTATAAATCAATTTTTAATATCCACTGGAAAATTTCATTTACGAATTTCAGTCCGATGCAACAACAATCTCCGCGAGTAAATAGTACTCTGCGATATTAATAAAATCTCACCGGTCACAGATATTTTCCGCTTTACGCAACACAGGCTATCGACGTGTTAATGTAATAATCGCGATAATAAACTGTACGAAATCGTTCGGCGTGCAACGCGACGCGAAAATAATCCATAACGAACATTTGCTTAGATTCTCCTCCAACGTCTCTTCCGCGCGTCAGAGCGACGATACTTCCTTTTAATACCGAGAGTAAACAAACGCGTTCGAACAAACATTTCTTCCGACCGGACCGCGTTGCAAGCCGGCGCCGCAGAGCATACATCATAAAAATTTCACCGCGGAAAGAAAATTACAAAAATTAGCGTGTCCGCGAGTTCAGATACATCGGACACGATAAAAGTCAGCCAAACTCGCGACAGCAACTCTCGCTTAGAGACCCATTTCTTCGAGCGCGGCAACCGTGTTTCGATAAATTTGAAAACTCACGATAAATAACGATAAAAATAACGCACAATGCACATAGGAACATTCTTGAAGACGTCTTCGCGGTAAAAAATCAACAGAAAATTTGGGAAAGTGAAGGATGAACGATTTGGCGGGAAATTTGAAACGGGTAATGAGGTTAGCACGGGGTGAAAGATTTGGCGGGAGATTTGAAAAGGGAACGAGGTACGTAAGGAATGAAAATGAGAAAAGGGAGAGTGGCGTTAATACGAAAAGGCAGGTTTTAACGGGGGAAAACAAGAGAAGAGCGAACGTGTTCTAGTTAACTTTCCTTTGCATCATTTTTTTAATGGATACTTACGGGAGCGGCTGGGTGTCTCGCCGGCGCGGGGTACATCTTAATTGTGGCTAAATACTCGGCAAGAATCAGACGCGTCCGCAATGTCCTTTGTACGCGGTCACTTCATGATCCATTCCGCTGGTCGATCTTTGCGGCAACATTCTCAGGATCTTGGAGGGACGCCAACAGTCTTCCCTCAGTGTTCAGCATCGAGATCTTCGCCGGCTGTAATTATAACACGACACGATTCGTTACTTTGAACGAGACCGAGGTGTTTCGTAAACTTGTTCGCGAGAAGACGCGCACGGCTTTTCTCGGAATTAAATCGCTGTTCTCGAACTAGTCGTTTCGTTGCTCGCGACCATACCGACTAGTTTTTAACAGCTAATTGAAAGTGTGGAATTTAAACGAGCCGGTATCACGATCTACCTTGAAAGATACGTAAAAATGTACTTTTTATATTTACTTTCCTGCGCTGTATATTTTTTCAGCGTACGTAATAAACGCCTGCTTCGATACATTTTTTCGGAGTAACTTTTTAAACGGTGACCGTTCGCGTTAATTAATTAAACGTGAGTGAAGGTTGAATACGGAAATATACATCGGACGTGAAAAATGATAAATTGAATTTTTCAACTTTCCGATTTCTACTGCCGTAACGATACGTCAAATATGCGAGATATTTACGAAATTGCATATTTGTCGTTTCTTCGTATCTGAACCAAGTTAATCTCACCCTGAGAAATACTTCACCCCGACAATTGGAACTCAATATACAAATATTCGATAAATTGCCGCTATAAAAAACTGCATCATTATGGTTCTGTTAAAAGTGAACAAGGCAACGGAGGCATACCGAATACGCAATTCTGCAGAAACACGAGAACGGTGTATCGAAACACCAGTGTATAATTCGTGGTAACAAATAGAAGGCCGTAAAGTGTCGGGTTATACGCGTTTATGTTCGTCAAAAGCGAGGGAAACGTTCGGTAATCAGTGAAAGATTCCAAACAGCGTTTAACTTAATTTGTATCGATAACTGTCACACACGGGACACGATAATTCACCTACCTGACGATATAAAATCAACCGAACATCGGAAAAAAGAAAGAAAAAACAGAAAAAAAAATACAAAAATACAAAGTGCTCGACGAATATAACCCTCGAAGCTCTCGATCGATTTTAACAACGAAATTTCATTTATCCAATTTATACCATAAGCATCGTAGCGGCGAATACCGCGCGTTGGAAACAGCCCAAAAAAATACGTCGAAATAACGGTAAGCTTATTCTTGGTTTAAAAACCAAAAACAAAAAAACAGAAAAAAAACTCACAAACACGCGCGCATACACGCACACGGACAGATCGCCGCCCATTTTCGGTTTTCATAGAGCGGAAAAAGTCCTGGCGACGCGTCGCGTATGGATTTGGAAATTATTTATACGTCCGCATCGCGTGTGCACGCGGCTTTATGAATCCGGCCGATCGATTTATCGTTCGATTTACGAGCAGCGTAAACCACGCTCCGTCACCGTTCCCGAGAGCATTTATCCTAATCTCCGAGGCGTGTTTCTAACGGAGAACGACAAAGAACGCGAAGAAAGGGGAGAGGAGAGAGAACGAAAGAAGGAAGGGAAAAAAGAAAAGTGGTACGGCGAGGGAGAGGAAAAAAAAAAGAAAAACGTTGGAAAGAAAGGGGGCGGAGAAAGAAAGCGCGTTCGCCGCCCCTTCGTGTATACCGAACGCAAAGCTGTTGTATGCGCGAAACGTCACGTACGGAAACTGCGTCTCGTATTTTTTAAAATACTGTTTTCGGTAAACAGTCTCCTTCCGTGCGTTAACTCGGCGTCTAATGGCCGTGCTAAATCACTGTTTAAACGATAACGCGCCATCAAACGACGGAACGAAGGAAATATCGATAATGGTCCAACGATGAACGCACGACTTATTACGGAACACCGTAACTCGTGGTATTTCATTCATTTGTTCGATTGAGTCATGAGTAACGTCGACTCTTTTTTTTTTTTTCGTTTTTTCCTTTAGGATTACACGTTCGATTAAATATCAGGTCATCCCGTAAGTACGTGCCGAAAGTGAAAGATATTTTAATGAAAAACCGAGGAAATTCTTATAGCCTTACGAAGAAAAGGGAAAAGTTGCGGAACGAGGAGGAGCTTACGTATTTTTGTTCTTTATCAAATTTAAAGGATTCTTGGAAATATTGATCTGAATAATAAAATTCGACAGGAACTTATAGAACGACCTGATAAATACGGTTTCACTTTTGGAAAGGAAATTTTTTTAATTAGTCCAATAAACAGATTACATTGTCTACACTTGTTGACAGTAACGTCGACGTGGAGGATGGTTTTTCCGCACGTTAATGTTGCGTGTGAATTGTAAGGGCTGCAGAGATCGCGGATTCAACTCGCTTCTTGCGGCAATGTACACGAGTAATTTACTCCTGCGCGACTCTTGCACGCCATAACTGTCCGTGTACTCGAAATTCGAGGCGGGTAATTCGATTTGTCGAATCAAATTGAACACTCGATTATTTAAGCCTCACCTACACAACGTGGCTCGAAATTTACAACAAACATGGTACACTCAGAAAAGCTTCGAATACCTCGAACATTTTCCAAATTTATCAAACAATAGACGAATCTTCTTCATGTTCAAACAAATTATTCGCTAAATCTACCAAGATTCTAACCTCAAAATCGGCTACTTAAAATTCCACAAATACCGTACACGGTACACCTAACCTATAAAGACAAAACAGAAAGTCACGTGATTCCCGTGTTAGCGATCAATTAGGAAAACATGAAAGGTTCCATATCCGCCGGATGAAACGTGCCAACAGTACGTACAAACAGGAGTACCAAAATAAGCGCTCGTGTCCTGATACAGTATGTATTAATGGCGTTGCATTAGGATAATTCGGGGTCATCTTTGAGTAATTTTCAAGCGATAAATCAGCCCCTATACGAAACGAACTTCTGCTATAAACGTAGGTGTACTCTAACGCGTATCAAGTAATGAAACTACCGGGAGCAACCTGTTTACGAGCGGCACCCTCTCTACCCGTGAAACTCGGAGAACCGCGAAGGTGTTTCGATGATTTCGAATGACGAGTAGGTACACCTTACCCCACCAGCCGCGTGTACAGGGAGATGAAAATGGTATCGGCGCGGTATTTTCACTGGGAATACGGAAGGATTTCGTTGCTGTGTTATCATTCGCAGAGGGGGGAGTTACCCGTCACCGGGGTGATTTCACGCGCGTATACGTGTCATTACGGGCTCTTTGTAACGCCGGATGATGTTTCGTGTAACACGAAAATGGAGTCGTGTAACTCCGTTAGCAGACCATTCTCCATGGATAATATATTTCAGCGAGCGATGTATAATGGAGCTGAGCGCGCGTGAAAAACTCTCAGCCAAATTTGAACAGTCATTTCCATCAATTTGCAATAAACGAGCACAGTGGCGACGGGCGGGGAGGGGGAGGAGGAGGAGGAGGAGGAGAGGGGAGGGGGAGGTGAAGCGATGAAAACTTTCGACGGTTTAACTCGCGACGCCTTTATCACCTCTTTTTTTTTTTTTTTTTCTATCGCCGATCACCAGCACAACGCGGACATAAAAAAATGCATAACCTGAAAAATTGATTGAACTCTCGCGGTTCATCTGGTGAAAAAAAGATCGACCCAGAGAGAGACAGACAGAGAAAGAGAGAGAGAGAGAGAGATCGATAATTCGATGCCTTCGACATTTCTAACATTCGTCGAACATAACCTAACAACACCCGAGAGAATATCGCTACGGTGGTGTTTAGCTGCTGTGAATGTGTACTACTTTGAATTTCGAGAAAACTACGCGAAAATACGAAAATACAACACGCTCGTGTATCTTTCCACGGGAAAAAAAAAAACGAGAAAAAGAGAAACTAGTAGCGACAATCTTCCCATATGAAAAAGCATAAAGAACGGTGAAAAAAAGAAAAAGAAAGAAGGAAAATGTAGCCAACCGCCTTTAATAGTCGTGGCGATAAAAAAAAAAAAAAAGGCAGCTTGTAACACGTTGGACGAGACACTCTGTGGAAACGACGACGAGTGCAGGACACAAAATGGACGTGGCTGTATGCTCAGATGAAATTCGTGAAAAGAAAACTAAACAAGCAAAACGCGGCAGCTGTTCAAAGACACCTCTATACCGTCCTCCAGGTACGAGGAGCAAGGGAGAGTGGAGAGGTACCTACATACCGGCGCGGAACACAGCGCGCGGGCAAGTCACGAAGGAAGTTATCACGAATCTCGCTTAATCGCCGTTAAGATCCTTAATCACGCGATCTCCATGATTTCTTTTCCCTGCGATCGTTATCGCGACACGGTCAAGTACCGACACGAGCTCCGCTCTCCGTCAACTTTCAAGGAGAGGGAGGGAGGTGTATTTATACGTCGTCTACTTCATAGAGTGAAAAAAAAATTTTCCATTTCTCCAATAGTTCAAATCGGAGAAAATTGTATTTCCAAAGAGACGATACCGAAATAAAACTGACAACGTGTATCGCGTTGCAATTTTTTTTTTTTAAACAGTCAACGTATCGACAAAGACGTGTGCAAAATTTCAACGCGATAGTCTTACTGGTTTCATCGCAAAAAATGCCTGAACGTGACCTTAAAATAGCGCGTTTAACGTAGACTAACCCCTTAAAGGATTTCCCACGCTGACCCGCGCGCATTAACGAAATTACGGTATTATCGACGGGAACCGACGGTGTCGCTCACGACTTCCCGGATATCGATGCGGAATATCGTGCATGCGACCGCGTGTCATCGATAAACGGTCGCAACACTTCATTCGGTTAATTAACATTCGAGCAAAAAACCACTATACACGATGAGCGATGACGATAAGCGATATACCGGTTTATAATCCCCCCCCCTCTCTCTCTCTCACTCTTATATTACCGCGGGTAGTTGTAAAACCGTTGATGTCAAAACTATCGTTGATTTATACAAAGGTCGAACGGCTGACCTACATTATTGCTGTTTGAATATTTAAACATTCAAATACACGATGGCGTGTACACATGTCGTCGAGGTAATGATAAATAAATCGTATCGTTTTCTCGTTTATTCCCTTCCTGGGTATTCGCATTTAACCAAGCATGTATATACCACGTTTATTGGCCGTCAAAGAAATTAAACACGACAAGGAAATGTTGATATATATAGTGTGTATATATATATACACACACACACACACACAGACAGGACGGAAAATTCACACCGAATTGCACATCTTACGATTTTTTTAGTTTTGGTATTTTTACGATATCATAAGAAAATTTGAAAAATTATACATACGTAGATAATTTTGATTTCCATGATACGCAGTTTTATAAATTAAAATTACAATTGACGTTTCACGTAAACTTTCGTAGAAATTGCAACCTACATTTGTCGTATCTTAAGAACAATCTGTGCCACGAATGTGTGACTCGATGTTATAAAGCAAGTGGTTTAACCGAGTATACCACGTTTATTAGCCGTCGAAGAAATTAAACGAAGAAACGTGGATGTATATAGTAGGCAGGGGGGAAAAAAGAAAAAAAGTACACATCGTTAGAGTTCTAAGAAGCCGACCGGCGAAGAAAGTAGCGAGTAAAACGTGTCGATTGTCTCGATGATTTAATGAGCCGTGTACGTTGATTCGCGATTACCCCCGGCATGTAGCGAACTCCCATTCCCGCTACCGTCCTGTCTCTTTCCAGTAATTTACCACGCAGCTGTGTCGCGTCGAAGGTGCTGCCAGTGTTGCACCGCTTATTAAACCGAGAAAGAGCGAAAACTCTCGACGTTAACTCTCATTTCAAACTGGTCTAATAACCAGCCAGTTAAACAGTGTACATCGTGACCTTCTGCCACATCAAAGATCGTCTTATCGTCTAAGACTAAATCGGCTCGATTAAGGTTGGATTTAACCGGACGACGAGTACCTGTGCAACTACGTTTTACTTCTGAACGCGTAATTTCCGGTGTATCGTGAAAAGCTATTGAAATTCACCGGTGTTTCTATAATTACCGGCTATTCAAGTTGGCAGCGAACGGAGCAAAGCGACTGAAAGCAATTATCAAGGTTAATGTTACACGATACGGTGTTGTCGGTAAGTTCGCGTACACGACCACCTATTTCCACCATGTGACAGTGTGTATAAACGTTCCCGGTTTAATTAATGATACACAGGGCTTTTCGAAAGGGAAAAGTATACGTTTTCGTTCACGAACAATACATAATGTGTCGCTCCTCGAGATTGTTTAATCGGTGATATATTTTTTTTCATCTACTGTCCTCAACTGTTATGTATGGAAAATCATATCGCACATCGTTGAACAAATAAGTTTAGCTACTTGGTAATTATCACGATATTTCGAACAATCGGTATTCCACGAGATCGACGACCAAGTGTTTGTGTTTACACGAAAGGTCTATCGCGAACGCGTTAAACGACGCGGCAAACAACAATTTCTCCCATTGGCAGTAGACGATGAGTCGAGAACGGTCAATAGAAAAAGCTGCCAGTAAATAATACCTCTATTCGTAGTGGTTCGTTGCCTTGCGTTTTCTCGGGAGATACGTCTTTTTAATCCACCTTGGCACTGTGCGAAAAAAAACGAACCGAACACTCACCGATCCTCTCTCTGGCACTATATCACAAACACTTCATGTATATATAGATACGTATATACGTATAGTCTAAAGAAAAAAAGAAAACGCGTGCACAGCGTCACACATATATATGTATATACTATGTATCGAACGTATAAAGCGTCGAGACGAATCGCGAACGTCACAACCGCACCGTACAACGAACGACGCTCGACTGCGAGCCGGGTACCGAAGTGGATGACGGGAAACGTGTGAACGCCGCTTGCCGCCGCGGCGAACACCAATGAGCAGCTACTAACACCATCCACCGCGGCAACGACACCAAGACACACCAATAAGGAGACACGAACGTACACAACGAACGAGGATCAGCGTCTCCCTTCTTTTCACGCTCCGTCCTTCTTCGACTCGTTTCTCAGTTCGTCGAGTCAAGGGCGTCGACCGACAGGGGCGATTCGTTGTTTCCTTATATCGGACAGAAACCAATAATGGCTAATTTCATAATGATCATGAAATTACAAGTTTCTCCCTGCTCAAAGATACAACGATATCGATCGACCAAGCGAATTCGTTTCACGGCTAAAACGGCCCCGACGAAAGATCCACTCGATGCGGTTTCCTATAGGAAATTTTAATGGCTATTTAACTTACCGGCGCTACGCGGCCAGTCTTGCCGCTTTACTGCGACTTTTTAATGAAGTTTTGTCACCGAGTTTCTTCCTGCTTGCGTAAGGGGATGGGAGACAATGTTTTGGGCTCGTATCTCGCCCAGAAAGCAAACAAATTTAATTCAATATTATCTTTCTATTAACTTATAAATAAGTGCACGTACGTGCATTTATACATTAAAATGCACCCCATAAATATGCTACATATATATCGCGTTAAATCTTTCAAAATATACTTGCTAGATATATCCGTTTCCTTTGTCACATTTGTTCCTTTTGCCACGCTCGCTGGAGACGTAATTTCTCACTTTAAAAAAATCTTTATCGACACCCCTGCTTTCGTTTGTCTCCCTCGCGCTCGCCACTAGTATCCTCCCAGTTGCTGTCCTTCTCGCTCTCATACAGTAGATGCGACATATCGTGCGATCTCTGTTACACCTCGGTGTTTCTTGATCTTCCACCTCTTGCCGTCGTTTGTCTCGCTTGTTCCTACCATCTCCGTACTTTCTGCCTCTGTCTTACAGGTGCACCACATCATCGCTATCGTTGTTCCACTTGCACCTATCCTCTCCTCATACATATGTCCCTCACACTCCGTCTCTATCCATCTTGTTCGACCCTCTCCCTTTCTCACTCTGTCTCACTTCGAACCGTTTGTCCCGCAATCGTCGTGTCTCCGTCACCCCCTCCCTTCGTAGAACAACAGAGACAGCCTGAGCGTGCTTGTCCTGCTTGCGCTTGAACAGCAACGAGGCGTAGAAGGAGGAGTACCGGAACCAAGTGCCGAACGTTGCTTGTGTGTCGCGCGTGCATGGAGTGTGTTCGGGGGCGCGCGCGCAAAGGACAAAGACAGAGTGAGTCAAAGTGCTGGAGCCGGACAACACGAGTCAACCGGCAATGTAAGGAGAGACCTTTAGGTGGGTGCAAGCGTGGCAACGATGTGTAGGTGATATTCCGTGCGTCATTGAGAGCGTGTGCGTGCTCATCATATTACACACTGCTCATACATCGTGTCTGGTGCGCTTTGAGGGCGCGAGGAGATGAATCCTCGATTCGGTTAAACGCCCGCCAACTGGGGATGTTCTAAATCAGGTTGTCTACCTGCGACTCGGCTTTCTGAAATTCCAATACCCCGTGTGTTCCTCTTTCATAACGAAAAATACAAAAATGTCTGTAGACGAAATATACATACATATATACGTTATCGAATGGTATATTACAGTAGTCCCCGGGTTAGTGTAACTGCATCGGGGGACTGTGAAGTTACAGTCGGTATTGTAGGTAAGAGAAGTTGTCGTTACCTCATAAATTTGTCCTTTTATGGCGCTGTTCGGTGAATGATACTGTAAGAGGAAGCAACGTAGAGGAATAAGGAGGCTTGCCTGTGATCGGAGGTCGCGACAATCGACTATCGACTAAAAAATGTATTACGGTGAAAATAAAATTCTTTTTGTATTTTTTTATTATATACACGTGAGAATATTATCGTTGCAGGAGGTTTCACCGCTGAAAATTAATCCAAACATAACCTCATTCAGACTGTTTCCTTTTCGTTCCAAGGTATGTCATTTTTCCCGCCGATAGCACAAGTGTAAAGGTTCGTTCGAACGAGACGGCACAAATGCGACGAGGTTCAGCTGCGCTGTCGAAGTAAGTCGAGGCAAAAAAAAAAGGTTATACTAACCCGTCGACTACTGCACAACGTATCTAGTATTTCGACGTGTATGAGAGATGGAAAACGGGAGAGAGAGAGAGAGAGAAAAGGGAGAGATTTTTAAAAGGATTCACGTTACACGTTTTTATCATAGAGACAATCGTAACGGTGACACGTAAACGACAATATGCAAAATGCATTTAACACACACCTTTGCGCGGAGCGTTATTCTGTTTATTGACACATCAATTTCAAGAATGCAATAAGCGTAAAACATTTAGCCTCGGTAATATATAGCAGATAAATGAAATATCGCGTGATTAAACGCCGAGTGAAATTGCTGTTACTTCGCCCTTTGGAATCTGCCGCATTTATTGTATCGATTCGAGCGTATACCTCGAGGAGGAAAATTATGTTATATGCGCGATAGTAGTTATAAAGCGGCGAACGGCCGTGTGACGGAGGGAGGTGGTGTAGCGCCGGGAGGAGAGTAAACAGCCGAAGAAAACTTTGTGGGCGGATTAGCATGGTAGGTGTCGGTGGGATATCATAAAACTAGTTTGTGAAGTACAGGAGGGCGCACTCCCCACCCGTCCTACCCAAGGATTTCATTCCCTGGTCTGCATTGCAACGGGGCGGACAGGCATTTTCGAAGGGAAGTCCAACAAAGCGGTTCGAAAGGACGGATTAAGGGGAAAGAAAAGTTTGCCGGTTACTTCGATTTTCTTTAATCTGACTTTGCTCCCCATAATTTCGAGGTTTAAACTTATTCAATTAAAATCGAGGAACGGAGGTTTTTATTTCGACAACTCGTTTGATACTTTCGGATCGACGGGAAACAATATTTAAACGTTTCGGTGAAATTTCTCTTTGGAACTTTCTTTCTTCTCTTTGATACATCGTGCAGCAAGCATAAATATGCGCTACGAATAAAAACTTTGAAAATAATATACCGTTTTACAATATTTCTTACTTTTCTTCATTGTAATCTAACCTAACCTCAAAAAGATATAAGTATGTACATATATACTTCGAAACTTTTCGTAGATAGTGTAGGTATAGAAGTATCATTTTATTCTTGCAGATAATCATACGAGAAAATTAAAGGATAATATTACAAAGTTCATACTTATTCGGTTACGTTGGACAAAAATGACAAATTTGTGTACTCTGGTACAGGCAAGTCTGTCCACTTCTCGTCGAGCAAACCGCGTCCATGTATGTATGTATATACGAAAACAACACGACGTATATATACGCTCATTTACTTATTCCCATTCGACTGTCAGTGTCGTCGCAGAAGTATACACGAGTGTGTTACGCGTACTGGGCACACGGTAAACGTAAATGTACGTATTCAGTGTCTCTACCTCGTTCTCCCTCTCGCTCTCCCTACCTCTCGTTCCCACCCTTGGCGCATTGTGCTTCGGTTCTCGATCCCTCTTCCAAGCCCTTACCACAAGCCGCAGCCCACTACACTTTTGCACGAACACGCGCGCGTTCATTATCAACGTACAACGTCGTATAACCATATTTACGTAGCCCCGGTGGTCACCCACACGGACGCAACGTGCAATGAGGTTGCAAAGAAACGACTTGTGCACAGAAACGAAATGCTATTTGTCGGTATACACAAGAAGCGCGTGAAAGACAGAGAGAGAGAAAGATAGTGAAAAGAGAGTTTGGGGGATGAAAGGAGATAGAGAAGAGCCATAAATGCAATTGGAAACCTTTAGCTGATATATATTCAGGGAACTTCCTCTGTGACGTTGGTGTGTAGACGAAAAGGAAGCAATGCGTTTTTCTTCGTTGAAATAATAAGTTGTCCTCCTCCCTTGTACGATTTTATTTCAACGATAGATGGTCGGTGGTGGTGGTGGTGGTGGTGGTGAAATGAGATCGCGGCAACTTCACGAGACTTTCTCCCCTCCAGCCCTCTTCAACCACCTTGTTATAATTGAGACAGATGATTAATCGTTTATTTAAAGCAACCTACGCGAAAGCTTGCTTTTTTCCGCGCGCTCGACCTATCGTTCGCTGGACATCTACATAATTTTCTCGTAAATCACATACACGCGACAGAGAGAAAACAACGGAGCGTATACAGGGTGTTTCTGAATTATGAGCGAGAAAAGTTGACCAGTTGTTGGTAGAAGCGATTGAAAGAAATGGAAAAGAAAAAAAAGAAAGAAGTCGTAATGAACGGGTAGGTCGGTAAAGCAATCGTTTGTTTTGTAAATGGATAATTCTAGGTGTGTATGGAACTGTACACATCGTAAAGTGATTAGGATATCAGTTACTTAGTGTTACACATAACACGTTAACTTAAAAAGATAAAAAATATCAGTAAATAGTTCAACGAGACATATACATATATGTATATTGATTTTTCTTCGAATTAATTTCTTTTTCATTAACCGATTGATAAATTTCTAACGGAAAATTCAGAAACACTCTGTATAAAATGTGTTTAGGTACGCAGGCGAAATAACCAACGTCTCTTATCGCGTGACTAATAACGAGACAACGACGGATGTCTAGGGACCTTCCGTAATTTTGCTGGTAATTGGAGCAAATATGGTATATCACGATCGAAAGTCGTTGTCAAGAAAATCGATATATGTATGTCTTTTGTGTACGATATACACACGGTAAGAGGGCGGGAGGAAATGGGAGGGGAGATGCATGCAACGACGTATCAAAGAGAGCGGCAACGTAAGACGATATTACGTTGATGCGAGGGTAGAACAATGGAGCGTGTCTTCTAGAATGTTTTAAATATAAAACTCCGTATTCCGCTGGAAGCATCGTCGGCATGACTCGACTTAAGTCGGTTCCCCTAAAGAGTACTACCGTTCTTCGAGTATACCACCGTGGAATCATCTACTACCGGCGTCGTAAAAGGGGCTATATATCTAACTTGCACCACCCCGACGAACACGAACCCCCTGAAAACCTGTAAAACACGCGAACCGTCCGGATAATCATTCTTTCTACAGGGAACGACTCCGTTCCTGAGCTACGTCTCTCGTCGAAGATAAAAACGGAACTGGTTAATGGGATAGGACGGTCTTATCTTGAACGTTTGAAACGTTTCGCGATATCGTATTTTCACAGTACAGTACAGACGACGTCGACGAGGACGACGAAGACGAAGACGACGACGACAACGACGACAACATTCCCTCAATATTCGTATGGTAATTAGGTAGGAAGGAGAGAGATAGATTCCTTTGTCATGTCTTGTTTACATGCATTATCGGTGAACAAACGTTACAGCTTTCTCAATTACTTTATCCCAACAACTTGTTTAACCGCGTTTTTAACGACATTTCTGCTTGCTTCATAACGATGAGAAATGAAAACCAAACTTCTCACGTAATACCGTTCCCTTTTTGATCTTATAATCGAAACCGCAATAACCAGAGGTAGTTTAAAAGCCTTTTGGTAACATACACGTTTTATAATGCTGTTGCAGGTTATTCTGCCTTCTCGCGACACGATTTATTGTTACTTCGTATTTGAACGTTTTTCTTCTTTGCAAGCACCAATTATGCATGTATTGCGACTGACAAGATAACTCGTTGTACGCGAAACGTACGTATATAATTAGAATACATAATTCAAGGAGCTCCTTTTTATCGAAGTAACAAAGTTATGCCTTTCAAATAACTTCGCAGTTCTTTGCTCGACGTCCCAGGTTTCTCTCGATTTTGCGTTTTTTACCTCGGCAAGCCGTTGGGAGGTACGCAGTGAAGACTGTCTTCAAAGGAAATCAGAGTAGTTTTCTGTTAAGTTACCAGGTAATGAAGTCTAAAGACAAACGTCCCTCCCGGAGGCTTCCGTTATAGCACACGTTCTTGCACAGTGAAAAGTAAAGAAGTGGAATACGATGCTGCGTTGTCTAATAACCGAGTTATACTGTGTTTCCCCTGAAAATATTAAAGCCGAAGAAATGTTGGAGAAATTTTAATTTTCAAATATTCAAATTTTCATATTTTCAAATATTCGAATATTCAAATATTATTTCTAATAGTAGTTAATCGCATAAACATTGTACGAATTGTTTTTAACTTCAAATCCAATCTCACGCCGCACACGCTAGTAGGTGGATTTTTACAATTTTCAAGCAGTCCCCGGGACTGGTATCAACGCTACCGTTACAAGACTCGTTCCTTATTCTTCCAACTGTTCTTGTCACCGAAAACGCCAGTTCGTCTTACGAAGGCTCGGTGACTCTGTTTTTCATTCCTCCGGCGGAGCTCGGTGTGACAGTACCGGTTGTATTGTGTGCACCTTTTTTCCAGCTGTTTCTCTTTCATGTATACACGGTGGCGAACGCGCCACGCACACACTCACAATACTTTTTCCATCTATCAGCCATCTCATTCTGCCTCTGACCCATCTACCACCCACGCGTCCTTTTCTGCACTCATTTTTACACCGACCTATCCTTTCGTTGTATGAACAGGCAATGCGCGAGCTGGAAAAGAAAAGAAAGAAACAAGACGAAACGCTGCCACCTTCTCGTTTAGCTTCTCTCCATTTCGATAATTGAGGAACGTTTGGTAGCACGCCTTGCCCTCTGCGATCCCGTGAATTATGGTGGCAATCGTACGATTCACGAACAGCACTAACGTTAATCTGTCCATAGTGCTAATCTCTGGTATTATCTCCGGTAAACTGTGAAACATTCGAACTATGTACCTTGTTACAAATAACACAGAATATGTCGTAGTTATAATAAATAAATTATTGCCAAGCAATACGGAATATAGGAAGTGCAAATATAATAATAATCAAACTTCCATTCTACGCTGAATACGCAAACTGATAGTCGACGTCGTTATATCGCTATTTCACGATTATCTCGGAAAAAGATGATCCCACAGCTTTACGTTTACAAAGACTCTTTTCTTCGATGTAAATTGTAGTATATACATATTTGTCAATTTTGCGAGAGAATTTCGGACTCACCCTGTATGTAGTGACCTTCGAGCAATCCAAGGATACAGGAGAGCAGACGTTACTGTAACTATGTTTAAGAGTTGGAGGTGTAAACTCAAAACGTGTCCTGTAGGTAGAGCACGGAATGGTGTTATATTTTAGTTTCTGTAAATTCATGTAATTTCCATTCTTCCTAACATAGGGATTTATTGCAATTTTATCTGTTTTTACTCTGCTAAAATAAAGATACAACTGGTGATATAGCAGATAAAGAATAAGTTTGAAACGATCTTAAATAAATAACAAATACATTTTGCTTTTATTCAAGAGCGAATGAGAAAGCAAAGAACACCAGCTATGTCACGTTCCCTTTTACATCTTTTAGACTATCTATATAACATCTATTTTATGCGACACTAGAGACACCCTGTTTGCTCTCTATTAACCACGAAACAATTATACACACCGAGAAAAGATTACGAAGGCTAACAGTCCTTTGCGTGTCAGTGTCATGTGAAGTGTGTTATGTGACATGAAATATATACTGTGCCAGATATTTTATTTATAATTCTTATCGCTGATTTTTCATATTCGACGTGATTTAATTAACGCGTAAGAAATATGTTATAACTAACCTATTAACTACGTGCGATCGATATAAACGGCACGTTGGGCAGGACTGATAGTTTAGGGTTAATCGATCTTGAGTAATTGTTCAAGCACAAGCTGTCAGCGTTTCGTTAACAATATTCTCTTGTAAGAAGATCGAGGTGGTGTGCCCAATGGTTACTGACGTAAGTCTGTCGAAAGTGTTGAGACTGGAATAAAGTAATGCTCGTGATATCGACGAAAATGTAGGACGAACTAAAACGCACTTGATGCAGAAGGAGTGCGTCACTTCGAGGCGTTAAAATCGAGGGTGAAGTGCCGACTTAACGACTCCCTCGGCTCTCCCATTTTACTTTTTTTTTCCTTTTTTTTATTCTAGCGGTTGTAAATCGCGCTCTGACGCGTACAAAGTAACGACTTCAGTTGCCAAATTATGCAAGAAGATATACTCGATCGATAAAAATGATATATGTATATGTTAATAGGATACAAATTATGTATGGAATTTATCAGTTTTAAGAAAATGGAGATGTTTTCCAATATTTTATGTGATTCAAATTTTTCGTTATTTTGTTTCAAAATAATTTTCATGATCGACAGGGACAATATTATATTTATTATTACCAGCTCTTTTGTTTGCGTAAAAGGTTATTGTACCTATGCACGTAAACGCAAGGCACATTTTCGATATGTTGTATATGGCAATTGTTTGGTTACTGTACAAATATATGTATATATTATGAAGTTTATATTCTGAAATATGATGTGTGCAACATTTCACATAAATTTCTTTACTATATTCATGATAAATTTAAAGCAGGTCTAATTATTGTTTTCAGATTGAACTTTTAATTTTATGCAGGTTATACAATTTATTAATCGATAGTCAATAAAATTTGAACAATACCATGTATTTAAATTATTTACGTCCACTTAAAATTATGAGAATTAATTGAAATTCGTTATTCGGAAAGTTTTAAGATATATAGAAGTATAAAAACCTGTTTTATGTACAGTAGTGACATCTGTTAGTTGATGTATATACTATAGATTTAATAAGTTCTTTACTTCTTTCGTAATCTGACGTATCAACATTCCTGTCACCTTGTATCGTGCTGTCCTCTAACAGCAAATTGCCGAATGCAACACGCTATAACACAGATGGATATCTTTAAAGCTCGAATTAATCTGGATCCACCTAAATAAGTGTGACAAAGGAAGTAAATTCTTTATCGTCTTAAAACAACACGCAGTAATAGGAAACGTTTCAAGTTGCTTGTCAAGCCAAACACAACACATTAGGTGTCTTAATGAAGAACAAATTATTTTGAATATAATTAATGCAAAGTATGTTTAACAAAAAGTAAAAAAGACTGCGAGAGGAAAGGAAAGAGCGATCAGCTGACACTAACACGACTAAACCAATGCAGTTGGTAGCTGAAGTCAGTTGGTGAGGAACTGTTGAAGCGAAAGTACAGGTATTGCCATCTGATGATGGAACGGGACGTACGTTTATAAAACAACCGAAACAATTGATGGCTGCTTGTGTTTTACGCACGCGCGCGTATCTAACTGTAAAATTCGTTCTTGAAGAAAAGTGAAAAACATTAGCGGTATTGATCTTTCGATTGTTATTTCGCTGGTTTGATATTCACAATATGAAATAAAAGTCGTTAGAAATTTTATAAAAGAAATCGTGAGTGTAAAACGAGAAAGACTGTTTTGTCGTGCGTTCTGGACTAAGAGATATACACACGCCAGTCGTGAGTCGGAAGAACCTGTGATATGAACGTACAGGAGCATCTCCTGATGACGAACTTAGATAAAGATTCTGTGTTTATTGCGCATATTTTGGATAACGCGACGGTGAGTTTTGATGGATCTTCACCCGGAAGTTTAGTTTCATAAATACTGAATTCTAACCACGTTTCACAATTCTCTTCACAACATAGTTAACTAGAGGGAATGTATATTTTTTTTATTTTTTAAGTATATCTTATATATCCATAAAGAGTCTTATCTAGCATTAATATGTACGAATTATAAATGAACACATGTCATACTATGAGTCCATGAAATACATGCTTTCTGAAATTTGATGCAGAACTATCTACAATCAAGTGATAAACATTTAAAATTATTAAATTACTTCAAATAATCTTATTTGTATTCTTTTTATATATCTCCTTAAAAAATATATAGTTAAATTTATGACAATATTTATGTGTGTAATTATAAAGGCCTTGAGAAATACATAAAGGTTAAGTATTTCTACAAAAGAATTATGGTTCTAGTATTACGAAGTAGACAGAGCTATAAATATTAGAAATTACGCATAATTAAATCCATGTATTAATAGATATAATATTATGATTTTTATTTATAAACCTTCTATGATCAACTACTAATTGTAAAAAAAAAGATTTTACGACTTTTTCAGAAATAATCTAATTGTTGTTTCCTTTAGAATTTCTTTCAATCAATAAAGTCAAATGCAAAAATGACGATCTTCTGCAGAAATCACTCATCGTTACAGTTAACCTCAAAACTAGAGCATTTGTTCTTGCGTTACCTCAACATGGTTTCCCGTATAATATACGAAAGATTAGTAAAGTTTACACAAGTGATTAATTATCCCATGTCCTTGAGAAATTCGTAAATTACTATTATTTCGACGACATTAATGTTGGGGTTTTTTTTTCAAGAATAACATTTAGTATCATTAAATTTGATAGTGTTCAGGCTTGGGTGATTAATTGGCTCTCCTATTAATTTATGCAGTAAAAAACACTTTTTTGCGTCCTTCGTGTCGAATGTGTCCTTTTTTACACATTTTTGCACGGTCGTCTACACTTATTTAAAATTGAAACGTGTTGCTTTAGTGACATCTGCTTTGCGTACAATATATGTACGTGTTATAAAATTTCAATGGTATGGCCAATACATGGGACATGCTTTTATTGCGGTGAGAGGAAAAGCTTTTCTATCCCATGGGGTGGCATTTGTCTCGAGTGGGAAATAGCTACGACAAACAGAAGTTATATTTAGTAGCTGGAACGTCCATAGACGCTATTGGGAATGCTACTTGGTTAAGTTCATGTGTATATGCCTTTATACGCTCATAGTATTTCTGTTGGTGTGATACATCAATAATGTGGTGGTAGAAACATCCTATATAGTCCGGAGAAAAATGACGAACTAATTAGTCAAACGAATGATGCTTTAATTAATTTAACAGGCGTGTTTTTGTAGGAAAAACTCCATCGTTAGAATATTCAAATTATAAGATCGATTAGCTACGAGTGATAATTTATGGAATACCGCGATTAGGTCGTTTATAGTTTAAATGGAAATTTACCCATGGAGGTCAATGTCGGCATATTGATTAAGTTGTCAAAATTTTAATGCTACTGGCTGTATAATTTAGTGACGTTAATATGGTAGTTGGCGCAGCCACGTTGTTACAGCGCACGTGTTCATGCGTCCTGTACATTGTTCCTGTCTCCACATAGTGACAAATACATTCGATCTGGTTTCAAGCTAACGATCAATATACATACGCTACACAATAACGTTTGTTCTTGATACATAGTTGACTTGAATAACACTTTATACTTTATTTTTTTCATTATACGTTACATGTCAAACATAAGTTTTCTTTATTAGTATTCATGAAATTTTTTTGCATTTCATTTAAACCATCATATTTCTCAGTTCTTATGTCAATTATGTATATATGTAGATGTTTGTACTTCATCATTTACCATTTATTTTTTCTTTCAACTTTTCGTCGATGTTTTACATTACACGAAGCACGTTCTTAACGAAAGATAAATTATACAGGTAAACAAAGAAGAATATGAGAAACGTCGGACTCGACGCATAAACATTGCATCATGCATACATTCCTAACCTAAAAGTATTACATTTACGCACCATTGTCTCAAGCACCATATTGCTTTTCGTGTTTTCCGTTGTTATTGATATGTTAAGTAATATTTTCCAGTATTATTGGAAGCAAGAACAGCGGGGATTAATTGGTTAACTATTTGTAAGCATCGGTACTTAACGCGGAAATGTATAATCGTGACTAATTTGAGTAGAATAAAATAGTTCCGATAGATAGTACCAAATTGCGTAAATGGAAGATATTTAAATACACGATGACTCGCCTGCGTGTCTCGATAACTCGCTAGTTGCGATACAATCGAACCACGTGGGTCGATCTAACCGCGAAAAATTCACAATCAAGCACTACCCGTGATGCTTTGTCACGTTACAATGGCAAATAAGAAAAGATAGTATGATAGTAATTTATATCTTTTCGTTCCTTCCGCATTTCTCGTCATCTTACTTTTCTGAGATACGATCAATAATTCTTTTATTCTTTCACAACTTTTCCATGACTCAAATCATAAGCACAACGATAATCATTTCAAATGCCAGAGACAAAAGACACGAGGAAAAACTGAGTATAGAAAAAAAGACACACGAGTCATCGTACTGATTCAACTAATTAATTCGTTTTAATCAAGTTTCCGCGATATATCTTGGTGCCTTAATCTTTCAAGTTCTTTGTCAAGATTGCACAACAACCCGATAATTTATAGATTTGGTTTTTTTTTTTAGAAACACAACATTTCCTTCATTTTGTTGCATTTGTGGCTTGAACAGCGCACTTCGTTTTGCGTTAAAATGCGTAGTACATGTATGGTGGCATGTTGTTAGAATCATCTTGTCAGCAGTGGTTTCTTAGACACGTGCGTTCTGAGTACAAAAAATGTATTAGGAACTTCGTATTACAACGAGGAGGTCAACTGGTTGCTCGTGTTTCATCAGTCTAGCATTCTTTTGCAATTGTGTCGATTCCAGGGAATACTATGTGGAAAAATCAGTGCTTCAAGACCTGGTAATTCCAACGATATTGCCCTATTGTTTAAATTACAAGTGTGGAAAATTATGAGTAAGCATTAAATGCAATACGTATTTGTAATCAATGAATTTTTGTTAATTATTCTAGATGGTGTGCGATAAAGTAAATTAAGCCAGAATTCCCCGGTTTTATAGCGTTATAAACAATTCAGTGATCACACGTTTCCTTATAAAACGCGTAGATATAATGATACAGAATTTCCGTGAATTAATGACTATATGTTTGGATGAAAAGTTCAGTGGAAAATCGATTATCGAATATCGAATTAAACGTTCATTATCCACGAACCGTTTAATTTAATCCGCTTAAATTGCTTCGAATCGGATTGTTGTTAATTTTCAACGAAGCTAATATTGATACTAAGTAATGTTTTATGAAAAACTTTTCGACATTGACGTAAAACATGTCAACTCGTGTACTACTCGATTATTTTAACAATGTTATTACGCAATTTAGAAAGTACGTACGATTACACTTCCCAAATGCATTGTCACATTTAAGAAAGAAATTATAGGATCCTAGAAAAAATAAATATTGAAAAATCGTTCAACTTCTTTCACTACCACTTTTTCATGTTAACGTAAGATATGTTCATCGGTGTATATGTTCGTAACTGAATGGTTAATGAGTATTACAAGTTGTTAAAAACCGTCACGGTCAATTTCGATACACTTTGTAGGATAGACGCTGCACTAGACACGCCAATCTTACGTAACGTGACCAAGCTGTTGAACTGGCGTGTTTTACACCGGTTTCCCACATGGTGTTATATGAGAAATTACATAACTCAATTCTTACAATTCAAGGCTAACTCGAATCAATTTGTTCTCCGCTCAGGGTCTCGATTTCATAGAGACCTCTTGACCGATCGCGATACTTCCAGTGAGACCGCACAATCACGATCCTAGAACGGGAAACGTAAAATCCGGCTCGTTTTACCATGGATAGGATATTCAGGGTTATCTGGCTCAGCTCGAGCGCGAAAAAGTGACAATCTTTCCACACTGCTCTGTTGCTATTGCTATCGCTATATGTGTATACATATACAGAATATTCTCCACAAGTGTCAGACCGCAAGGAAGCTAAACCTGACACTCGTAGAGTCAGGGACTACGTTTTCGAGCCTCACGCCCGCCTTTGTAGTTTGCCGAACGTAGACAAGGACGGCGAATAAAAGATAAGCATGGAACGTGATTGAGGCAACCAAGCGATTTAAATATCAACTTTTTTAATTTTACGTTTTTTTATCCCGAAATTTTTCTTAACATATTGATGAGATTTTTCTGATGAAAATGACATAAAACACGACATAATTTGAACAACATTTACTTATTAACACGTTCACTGTCACGCCAGATATTCACTGTATTGAGATAAAACAGACGCCCTGTATTACACCACATAGAATCGGCCCTACATTTGACTGACACTTGTAGAATCGGCCCTACATTTTTAATCGATAAAACAAAAATTCATTGTTGAAAAATAAATATTTCCTGAAAATCTTCATCTTCCATACAAGATTCAAGATTTTCCCTAATTAAGAGTAATTTCAAAAGATTATCTGTATAAGCTATTATTTCAATACGCGATGCACTGACTCTAGTATTTACTAAAATTCAAAAATTCTCGTATAAATTCCGAAAATAGATTATTAATTACGGTAAACTACTGAGACGGTTTAATTTAGGGTGGGCATAGTGCACGAGTGTAGTGCACTCGTTCCAAATCAGCTCACAATATACAATAATAAATCAACTAACTACTTATCATTCCTTGGATGGTAAATTATTAGTAAACAAAATTCAATATCAGAGAAAATAAAGAAAAATTTCAAATTAATTTCAATTGCTGGAAGAAAAGTACATATTGATTGTTATGCTGTAACGAAAAA